TCAACAATTTAAAATTGGGAAAGGGGGGGGGGGTAGAAGTTATGTCCATAGCCTGCTAATTCTGGTATAACACACATCTGTATCCTTGCTGGGGCTCAGGTGTCCGTGCACTGTAGTTGAAAGTTTCCTTTTCAGATATAACTGGAGCACATGGTTAGAGATATCCGTGTGTGATGAACGTGATCCATGACCAAACCTTAGTGATGTCTGAATCCTGTTGGCAGACTTCCTAGGCTTTCAACATTTGAAGTGTAATATTTTATGTATATTCCTTGCAGTCTTAAAGTAATTCCAACAGCGGGTTCCTAAACTTTATATTTGATGGGGGGGGGGGGGGTAGTCTTGCTACCTAGATTTTAACTAATTTTAGTTCGATGAATGTCTTTTTTGTTGTTGTTGTTGGCCTCTGCCCCCTCTCCCCGCCTATAATACACATGCACTCCACTTTATTGATATTGCTTTTACTGGAAGAGCAATTGACCAGGTTGAATACGTGATCTCTCAAGTTAAAAAGTCTAGGCGCTAATCTTCTGGTACGGTTGACAAGTTTTAACACTGGTGAAATCAAATCTGAGCTTGTGGCCTAGTAGCTCTTGGGAACTGCCGTGACACGTGCGACATGTAACACCACTTACTCCCTTACCCACCTCCCACTCCCTCCAAATGCATTGGAACCAAACTGCACAGTGCCTAGTTCGCTAGGTATCACTGGCTGGTCGTGATCTCTCTAACACAGAAGAGCGGCAGGTGTGATATTAATGAAGTGAGCAGAAACTGAAGGTGGTAAGGGTAATATTATTAATATGGTGTAGGAACTAAAGGTGGCCGGAGTGATATTAATGATATGCTGTAGGAACTAAAGGCTGTGGGTGTGATATTAATGAAGTGAGTAGAAACTGAAGGTGGTAAGGGTGATATTATTAATATAGTATAGAAACTAAAGGTGGCCGGAGTGATATTAAGTGTGTAGGAACTGAAGGTGACTAGGGTAATATTAATGATATAGTTTAGGAACTAAAGGCGGCCGGTGTAGTATTGGCCACATCAGCCATCCTGTGCGTGTTGGGTGTCACAAATATAGGGCTGTCACCATATCCAAGACGGTATGGAGAAAGTTAATCACCACATTCATGATCATGTAGCAGGACCCCGTTACATATCCCATAGTTGTCACAGTGGACTGCTTCCTTTCTATCTAGCGCTATCGTATATGACATGCATGTCAAACCGATGGGTTTTTAAGGCCATGTGGGTCACATATGTGATGGCCACACACAGCTAATTTAAGTCATTTAATAAAATTTATTGCAGAATACTTCTGTGCGTGTGTGTGCCTCAGGTGTGCTTGCAAATGGCTTCCAGTTTAACATTCCTAGTGTCTGGATTCCACCCGAGAACCTCTTGTCCTAGTCCCTGTCATCAACCTTTGTTGTAGAGCTTCTCTGAGATGTACTCGGGTACTACTAGCTTCCAAACTTCAGAAACATTTGCTGAACATTTCTCACCGCCCCTGGATTCTGTCCATCTTCTCAACCCATGGGAAAGATGAAAGCGGCTGGTGATGTGATTGAAAATCATATTCATGTATTTTTTTCACAGACCGTTTCAAATTTTCAGACGTGGAAGTAATTTACAAAAAGTATCGTGTTTTATGTCTGGCTTTTTTGTATGTTAAGGAATCACTATTTATTTATAAACTCTCTCTCTCTCTCTCTCTCTCTCTCTCTCTCTCTCTCTCTCTCTCTCTCTCTCTCTCTCTCTCTCTCTCTCGTTCCGCATACGAAAACTGTAACTTCGCCTTATAGTACGCAGAATGCACAAGAAGATGCGGCACAGAAACAAATAAGCCGAGGAAATAGAAATCAATAATTCGCTACTGAGGTGTAATCTTCCTCACAAATGAAACTAATAAGCTATAACTAACAATATGTTGCTTTCTCCTAGAGCGGTGTTTATGTCATCTGAAACTGTATTACATTCTCTCAGTTTGTGTGGCTGTCCGCAGACTGAGTGGTGTCAACTATACGTTATCTGAAACGGAGCTCTGTGGGTTAAATTGAGTAGTCCTTGTGTAGTAGTAGTAGTCGTCGTAGTAGTAGCAGCAGTAGGAGGAGGCAACCATCAGTACATGGAGACCATGGAATTATGTTGCTGTTTTTATTTTTTTGAACAGTGTATCAGTCACAAAGAAACTTTGCCCCGCTGTTGTTCTAAGGCTGGTTTCCTCTCAGAAGTCTCCACTCTATAGCTTGCTGCGTTTGGCCACTTTCAAACTGCGACAGTCCGGCTGCCTCTAGAGGAGTCGGTCTGCAGCTGATCTTTCCCAAGCGCCTGTACCAGTATGATCTTTCAGGTCACATTTGCATACGTCCTTATAGCATAGCTTTGGCCTTCGTGTCGTTCTGATCCCTGTCACCAGTTTACCTAGAGGAGATAATTTGGAATGCGAGAGACCTGTCCCAACCAACACAGGCGTGTTTGCTCGAGTAGACAATCTTTAAAAACTTCTATTTTGAGTACACATTTATTGGGGACAAAGTCAGGTCATGATACACCAAGAATGCGTCTCACACCACACACGTAGAAGGTGCTCAGGAAGCCAACTTCATAAACTTAAATTTTAGTCCTGTCCCTACCGTCCGTAGATATTTGCATCTAATCTTTCCGCGTTCTATATTTCTAGCTAGATTGTTAATTGTCTTGTCCGGCTTATCACCAGATGTTTCACCCGGTCTGTTTTGCTCTTCCCCGCCCAACCCCCCGTATTACTTTCTATGGCCGTAGAGCACGGCTGTTCAGCTGGCGTCCCGCGCTCTACATCTGGCCCACAAATCATTGTCAGGCGTATTGTTTTAATATTTCTATACCGGGACGCAGACCTCTACAACACGATCCCCATTTTCAGAATTATGGTCCCTGCAAAGACTTAGTTTAATAGCCGTGCCGTAGAGCCTAGGATACGAGTCTTTCCAGGACAGGAGTTATGTGCCACGACACAGCTAACTGTAATGATATTACTTCTGGCTGGTATACTTGTGACGTGAGTGCAATTATTACCGAACATCTGTCGCATTGGGCCAACACAGCTGTTGTCGTAGCGGTACAGCCAAAACCGTATAAAGATGTCCTCTGCTATACGACTGAATGTTTTTATCCTTGTAAAGCGGACTTGCAAAGACAAGATACTTGAAGCAGCAAGCATACACAATAAAGGGAAATAATTGTTAATCAGGCTGTATACTCATGCTGATGTTTGTTGTGATTAGAGCGGGGAAGACACACTGCTGCAATAGAAAGGCAAGGGAACGATAGGAAGGGAGGGTGTAAAAGATTACGGTATATTATGGTAAACCAAATCCAGTGTCGATGAGCGAGGCAGCCACTGTGGAACGCCTCAGCACAGACTGTAATGTACATGTACTGATGAGCATTTATAGGAAACAGGCTAGACTCCTGTCTGCTGGCTTGAATGAAGGTCTAGGTTTAACATCAGAGCATAGACGAATTTTGGTCATAATTGATATAGGTAGACTTTTTACAGAAGAACCATGAAATATAGCGGGAAGTAAAGTCGGTATTCGTGATGTTGAACACATTACACATTGAGTGCCAGTTGACCTGTAAAACATTCCGGTCTTGTACCATTTACCCATATGCTAATGGCGACAAAAGGCTCTATACTTTTTCTACCGTTTATTAAGTAATCATAAGTTGGCGCATATGCGTCCGAGAGGCATTCATTTGTCTTTAAGTGTTCTTCCTGAAGCATATTCCATCAACGGAATTGTTCTGTTATCTGCCTAGGCAGGTTATCTATTATAACAGTTTTGTCCAGACAGTGGCCTTAAAACTTACTATGTGTATTTACCTTTAAAATACAGTAGAATTTGTAATGTACACACTGCTTGCACACGGAAATTCTTTTCCTCCAGCCATTATGAACACCGTAACCTCACAGTAACCCACACGCACACACTGACTGCTGTAATTTTGATATGTTGGGGAACACTAACCACCTGTGAAAGACATTGTATGAGAAATTAAGAGAGTATAAGAACTTAAAATAAGACCTGTAGTTAAATTCATTATCCTAACCTGCACAGTCGAGAATAGCACAAGCCGTGTGGTCCTTAATCATAGGCTCATGACCCCCCAATGTCTGCACCACCCTCAAATTTGTAAATACAGACAGCAGTGACAGTTGATAGTTAAATTTATTGAGAAACAAGACTGAAATGGTTCGGTCACCAGCGTTCATAAATATTGAAACACAAGAGGCAGAGGGAGACCTAACAGGAAATGGATTGAATGTCTCACAGACAAGGCTTGTAAATCATCAAAGCATATTAGGCAGCCAAATGTCCTAACTCGGCTACCTATCATCTTATACATTCCGACACCTAGCTGCTCAAAGCAGATGTTGGCAGAGAAACGAAAGTATATGAATATACCCCCCCCCCCCTCCCTTCATCTCTTGCATTGTGTTATCCCTCCCCCTCCCCCGCCACCCTCTCATCTTTGCTGCAGTGCAGTTACTGAAGTATTTATACACACAGGCTCTTCTATGGTGAGATGCAAAATGGGAAACGTTCCCAAGGTGGGCAAAAGAAACGCTTTTAGGACACCTTGAATTCTTCACTCAAAGCATTTGGGATGAAGGACACCAATTAGGAGGCTGCCTCTTAAGACCGAAATGCATGGAGTACAGCTCCACATAAGGGCACGACTACATGTGAGACAAACAGAACAGCAAGACTCATTAAGAAAAGGATGGACAGAAAGGTGACTGCAGGAGATCCTCTCCCTGGCACAACACTCATTCCCTGTCCTCACTGTCCAAGAACTTTTCGGACCCGCATCGGCCTCATCAGTCATCTCCGTACCCATACTTGATGAAAAAGAGTGGCCATCATCATCTTGATGGACAACACACACACATATACACACTATGAAGTGTTTGACCTGACTTATTCACGAATTTTTAATTAAAATCTTTGCAGCCTGGCAACGACCCCTATGCTTTCGTTGAGTTTATAGATGGCAGCTCGGCGGCAGCAGCTTTGGCCGCCCTGAACAAGAGGATGGTGCTAGGCAAGGTAAGGACAGTTTGTCTCCTTTCTTGTGCGTGTGCCTTTATAACCACCTCCTGGATCTGTCAGTTTGTAACTTTACCTTTGTTGGTCTTATCTTCTTTTTTGTGTACATCTGTCTGGTTGATGCATGGCTTTTCATCATTTGTCTCCCCTGACCAGATCCCTACCCACATTGGACACCAGGTTACTTTGCAACCACAGGGCTTTCTCAGTATTACTATTACATGGTTAAACAGGATAAGCTGGTTAAAAAAACAGCTTGGCATTGATTTGGTTGAGGGTGTATGTTCCACTGGGGGATAGAAGGCAAAAGAACTTTTTATTTTCAGCACGTTTCCCCGTCGGCGGTCAGCTCTTCCTAGTGGCACCCCTGAAAAATAAACCCTCTCCTCTTCTGGGCTGCTGGCTTAAGGTTTGATCACACCCCCCCCCCCCCCCCCCCCCCCCCGAGACTCCAGAATCACATCCTGGTTGACATACAAATTGCAGATCCCAGATACTCCCTTTTAACTCTTAAGAAGTTATATTTGGGGTTCCTATAGCAGCCTTCATGGGCGGCTAAAGTAATTCATTGACTCCTGTGTGGTTATGCACTGGGAGGTTTGTTATCATCAGTTCATCTCTCAGTGTGTCTCTCTTATACCATATATATATTTGCCGAGCCGATATACTGTAACCAGTGATTAGTCTTTCATCCCCACTTAAACTCTCTGTGGTTTCTTTTCTATTCATGTATATTTGCCAGGCTGATAAACTGTAACGAATGACTAGTATCCTAACATGACTTTCAGTGTATCTCCCCTGTATCATGTTTATTTGTCGAGCCAATAAACTGAAACCAGTGATTAGTCTCCCAGGTTGAGTGGCTCTTCAGATATGAGAGCCTCCTTTTTGTATCAACCTAAAGTATTTTTCTGTTTATTTTGAGTTTAAGAATTAACATTCTCACCCCATCCAGTTTTCATAGCTCTAAAGCACCTGGCAGCCTTTTCCTGTAGCAGGAAATAAGCATATTATAACAGCCAATCTCTGCATATATACATGGAAGTAATTTCCACAGATAAATTCTAGTTGGAGTAGTCCTGCTTTAACTAATCAATGTTTATTGAAGACTTTAATACAGCTGGACCGAAGGAGTTATAAGCAGGATTTGGTACATAATGGGCTAGTGTCGCAACTGGATGGGTCACACAAAATTCGGAAAAGTATATCGTGTCGGCCGCATAAATAAACTCAGGGTGAGTCCCTAGGTACTAAAAGAATTATGCACCACACACGTGTAAGCTGTCAGTCCATGTGTTTGAGAATTAACGTAACTCGTTTGGGTCTAGACATCTGCTTGTCCTCTGGTTATGAAATATGTGTACTTCCAAATGAGGCCAACAAGATCGGAGATAGTTTAGGATTACCAAAGACAAACGACATGTAGTTTAAAAGATCAATGGATGGTGACAAGCGAAGCTGGGATGGGGAGAAAAAAAAAATGGGGGAGGGGTGGTTGTGTTGCAGCAGGTGTGGTTAGCCATAGCTGCCATTTATGAAGATTATCTCGAAATACTGATGGTAAAACAGCATTTGATGGTTATAATCGATGGTAAGGCATTCCTCCCCCCCCCCCTTCCAACCACCTCCTGCAGATTTTGATCTTTCCTGTTGTATTTGTATGGATTTTGTCGCTATGGTGTCCGTTGTTGAGATGCCGGAACTATCCGCAAGGGAGGATGTGGTGGTTGGGGGTTTATGTCACATATCACTCCTGTCGCGTGCCTAATGTAAGGATTCCTCCTTCAGAACCAACAGCACTCAGAGATAATTATGTTGAGTCGTTTGGCTCGTATTGGTCTAAGGGATTCCCCGTGGCCAATATACGATCAACTTATCTCTGGAGTAGGGCAACTCAAGTATTGGCACTACAAAATATATCAGTATATATATACAATATCTCTAGGCACACTTGGCTGGACACCCCCACTACTTACTGAAGAAAGCCCCCAGGTTATGATAGTTCATTATCATAACCATGTTAACACATAATGAAGATACATACATACACAACTGCTAAACACTTAAAAAGGTGAAATAGAGACACCTAAGTCAGCCATGAAAATGAATGCATGTAATCAGTTTTAAATAGATATATAAAAGTGAGACAATTGCCAGATCTCCTAGGCTAGATCTCAGGATATTCTGTCCAAATCACAAAGATACTACACAGACAGAAGGTCTTGGAGATGACATCTTGTCATCACTGGACACAAGGAGCTGTGAGGAACACAACATCATGCGAAGCATCAGACTTATCTTCTCTTCTTTCTGTCTATGATGCCTCCCTCAGCTCCGGATGATTCGACTGTCTTTGACTCTGGGAATTCTGCTCCACTGGATCAAGTAGTAAGAGTACTTCACTATATAGGACACAGCAACTGTACCGGTATTTAGCAAGTCTCTATCACCAGTAAGGACACACAATGTCTTTGAGCCACATTAAGCTCTAGCACTGGTAGCTGTTTGAGGTACCATCTCCCACATGTTGGAGATGTCAGGAACCTTCACAAGTGTTAGCTGGTGGGTAACAAGTTGTTTCTGGTGGTTTGATGGTTGGTGGATGTTGGTTGGACTGTGAATCTTCTGCCAGCTCTTCAGAAAATATACATCCCAAGCATATGTAAAAACTGAGACATTCCAAATTGCCTTGAAAAGTGAAATTTATACAGGCACAGATTAACACATCTGGACGCTTGAGAAGCTGGCAAGGAGAATAGCGTCACTTAGACACTTCAGGCGTTGGTACAAAAGAAGTCCCTTGTATACTGGGGCAAGGAGTAAATCGGTTTCCAAGAAATCTCAAATAACTCCCTAAATATATCTCCAAGAGATATACATTTAAAAGTAGAGTTTAGTTAAAGTAACCAGAAAAGGAAGACATAATAATGTTGTCCAATACAGGCCTATATATATAGATATAAGGGACTATATATTTCTGGGCGAGTCCAAGTTTGAATTTTGTGCAGATTACAGGTAAGACAGGTTATCAGCCTTACAGACCGATGCGTAATGGCTATCATTTCACGACAGTTTATAATAATATTGATGGTGGTTGCTATTTGTAGATTAGTCTTTCCAATTTGATTAGTAAGGCAGCTGTCATCTTGTGGTAGGAATTTTTACTAGGGGGGGGGGGGGGGGGGGGGTCTTCTGTGTGTGCCTTTTCTAGTGCATTGTATATTCTTGATGGTTTTAAGGCTACATTTGATGCTAGCATTCCATATTTTGCATGGGTTTTCCTTGGTTCTGAGTTCGTTATAATTTCCTCTGATATGGTTTAATGATTTCTGCATCTGATCACTTTCAGACTGTATTCCTCTGTATACTTCCACACATTTTGTAACATCCTCTGTGCCCTTCTCCCAGCTGAAGATAGTAACACTAGTATCACCCTTTCTATTTCCATAAATTTAAAATATCCTTTGCCCTTTTCCCTCCTCTCCCAAGGCAGTAATTGTTTTCGTATTCTTCTCTTCCTCTGTACCGTTAATAATCACGGTCTCTCGTGCTGTAAACAATTTGAGGATTTCTTCCATCTTCCATGCCATGAAATCCATCTTTCCAACATTTGTTCCCTTGGTCCTTTTGTAAACCCCCCCCCCCCCCCCATTTCTCGCTGTCACAAAAACCAGGGAAGATATGGAGATAAAATACTTGCAACCTCACCAGCTTATAATTGCCTTAGATCTGAGTTATCTGGTTTTAGTTTGGTTTGTGAAAGTGTATTTGATCTGCTTACGGATACCTTCGTGACATCAGACCGCGCAACGAGTTCCTCAGCACACTGCACGAATTTCACAGCATCACGAGGCTTCCAACATCACATAGGCTTTGAATATGTTCCCAGCTTGTCATTACTTGTCATTACGCCTGCTCCTTTTTTTTACAGGAGTTATTTCCCGTGACATGTGCAAAGCCAACACATTTGGCTCCTGATAATGGTTAGGACGACTTAAAATGATTCTCCGACGCCTTCTGAATCTCACATTTTAGGCCTAACAGTTCTGATCGCCTCCAAACACACCAAATTAAATCGATCCTAGAGCAAAAGCCATTTCGCCGCTGGATAAGAGGACCCTGATGGCTCCATTAAAACTAGGCTGTAAAACCAGAAGTCTTATGTCATTGCCGTCGAGCGGGCTGTTCAACCCGAACAAATAAACAACAGACCTACCACGTCATAGACACATAAATCATGACATCTGAAGGGGGTCGATGTGGTGAAATGTTTATGGCCTCACTGCTTTCTCGGTAATAACCGTGGCATTATTGTGACTTTATCCACTTAATACATGCAAGATAGTCACACTTTGGTAAGGAGGAATAAATTCATAGGTATTGATTGATACTCATATAAGGGGTGGATAGGAATAGAGGCCAGGTGGCACACGAAAATGTTTATAGATTCACGGCCTTTCCCGGTAATAATCGCGGCATTATTGTCACTTTCCACTTTATACGTGCAAGATAGTTACACTGTGGCAATGATGAATAAATTCATAGGTGTTGATGGACACTTATAGAAGGGGTGGATGGGAATAGAGGCTAGGTGGCACACGGTAAGGTTTATGGCTTCACGGCTTTTCCCGGTAATAATCGCGGCATTATTGTCACTTTCCACTTTGTACCTGCAAGATAGTCACACTGTGGTAATAAGGAATAAATTCATGAGTATTGATTGACACTCCTTAGAAGGGGTGGACAGAAAAAGAAGCCAGATGACACACATACATTTTTTTATGGCTTGACTCCTTTCTCTGTAATAACCCGGCATATGGTGATTTTCCACTTTATGTCTGCAAGAGGATCGACTCTAATAGGCAGACTGTGGTAGTGAAGAATACACACGTATTGATCAGAACTAGACGTGGATGGAAATATTAATTATTTCATTGTCCTAATGTGCCATTGTATGTCACATAAAGCTCCCTTCTATTGTCTCATTCGAATTTTGTCCT